TTAAAAATGGTGCACAGATTAAAACAACTGCTCAGCCCTGGGTCCTGATGGTCCTCTGTGACCAGGAGCTCACATAGAATCATCCATCTCCCTGAATCCCAGTCGTCCACCCCACTTTCCCTCTGGGTAACACCAAAAAAACCCTACAAACTTACCCACCACTAAAAAAAACCTACAAAAAGGAACAATTTGGCTTTTGTCATTTATGGATACGCCCGAGAGCAGAGGATAAAGGACTTTTATTATGTTTCCCAGTTAAATATTTTCATTTTACCTTCTTGTTAAAATGYAATTCAATGCTATTCTTTTGCCCCAGCATCACTCACTTAATCATCCTCCTATTGGGAAGAGTTCAGGGGAGGGAAAGTTGCAGGAAAGATGGTTTCAGTSGTAATAAGAAGAGGGACTTTGGCAYATTTCTGCATGCTATRAGGTATGTCTTTAAGCTTCAGTAAACTTTTGGAGTCCCTGGGAAGCTGGTAATGTGCCTTTGAAGGAAGTATGACTTATGAAATTGCAGTTTTTAGCTTAGCTGGGTAATGTTAATGAGAAAATAYCATGGGCTGCGGGTGGAAGTCTCCTGGATGCCATAAGTTAGGAATAAATTATCCTGTTTTCCCAAATGAAGCAGCACGGTGCAWTGCTGCTCCTAAATCAGGCTGATGGGGAGAATTATTTATTAATTTGTGAAGGACCGGAGAGAAGCTCAGGCAAATAAACACAAACTAAACTGCATGAAAGAGTCCCAAAGTTGGGCTTGCTGCGGGCATGCAAGGAAAGGTTTTGCAGGGGTTGTGAGAAGGAGCAGGAGAGTTGGGGCCAACACCCTGTGTGATGGAGGCAGCGTGAGGAGGGCGTGGAGGTACACGCTGGAGCCACACTGAAGATGATCAAAACCCCCCAACCTTTTAGCTGCAGTGCAGCAGCTTCCCTTCCCTTCCCTTCCCTTCCCTTGCAGCCCCAGCCCATCAAAGGGAGGTGTTTCCCACGATTTCAGCTCCCACTCCAGGGAATTCAGGGTTTGATGCTCGCTCTGTGGCAGTGATGGCCCCGCAGAGCTCTGAGCAGTAGCTCACACCGGGCAGGCAATGCCACAGCTCCAGGCAGTCACTGGTGCCAGTTTTGGGCACCTGTTTTCAATGTCTGTTTCCTAGTGCCAGTTTTTGGTGACTGTTTCCCAGTGCCCATTTTGGGTGCCTGTTTTGGGTGCCCATTTTTGGTGTCTGTTTCCTGATACATGTTCTGGGTGTCTGTTTTGGGTGCCTGTTTCCTGGTGCCCATGTTGGGGTGCCCATTTTGGGATGCCCATTTTGGATGCCCATTTTGGGTGCCTGTTTTGGGTGCCTGTTTTCTAGGTGCCAATTTTTGGATGCCTGCTTTGGGTGCCCATTTTGGGTGCCCATTTTGGGTGCCTGTTTTGGGTGCCTGTTTCCCAGTCCTGTTTTGGGCAGCCCAGCTCATCCCAGGGCTCCATCCCTGCAGCAGGAGGAGCCCTTTGGTCAGTCCTGGCTCTGAGGCTCTGCAGGTACCACGCAGCAGCTTCCCCTCCTGCCAGCACCTGGCCTTCCTACCCAGAGAGGATTTATTCCTCCCTGAGCAGGTCTCTGATGCCATTATTAATCAGGGAGATGGAGGAGCCCAGGCTGGTTTATTGTGCACTGTGGGTGAGTGATAAGCCCGTGTTGATGCCTGGGACAGTAATCAGGAGCGGGGAGCAAGAGGAAGAGGAGGGAAGAGCAGCATTGTGGGTAAATATGTGCGCTTCTGGTGGTGATTACCCTCCAAGTAATTAGTTTTTAAATCAGGCAGACSTTTCGGGAACTACTCACGATGAGCTGCTTTAATTATTTATACTCCCTTTTATTCTGATTATTTATAGTCCCCCTCTTTGGRTGGAGGTGCTCTTTGGAACCTGAGCCATCTCCAGCCCTCCCTGGCCAAGCAGCCACCCCCTCCAGGGCTGTGGGCACCCCCAGAACCCGGAGCTGTGCTGGGGGGACCCCCTCTCCTCCCAGAGCCAGGCAAGRGCCCATCCTTGCTGTGGAGAGCCCTGCTCAGATCGGTAATTAAACTCTCACTCATCTTCATTTCCCTCATTTGTTAAAGTGAGGCCACTCAATAAGCCATTAGTGCAAGGTGCTTTCTGTCAGCCAAGGCCTCGTTAGGCACATTTCCCTTGGAGACAGCAGGGGTGGGTATGGGCAGGGGGAGCAGCTCCTTGCCTCCCCTCCTCTGCCCAAACCCTCCCCATCCACCCCTCCCAGGTCACTCCTGCCCTTCAGCCCAGCCTCTGGGGAGCCAGGGGGAATTTTGCAATGGCAAAAATCCCYTCTCCCAGCTGGGATCTTTCCCACAGCACCACACAAACCCCTSCTCCATTAGAACATCTGGAGTTAGTGCTGTCCCCTCTCCAGCCCCACCTCTCCAGAGCTTCCCAACATCTGGAGGCCATTCCCTGCACATTCCCACACTGGGACCTCTGACCTGCTGAGCTCCTCCCCCGGGCTGAGCAAAAGCTGCCCTGATTGCTGAGCTGGGGGATTTTGCCTGCTCTTCCCTCTCTCCATCCACAAACCATTTCTCAGTGTGTCACCAGGAGAACATCTGCCTGGGAAGCCCTGGAGTATCCTCTGCCCCATCTCCCTCCATGGGCACATGCTCAGACACCAACACTGAGGAAAACCGCAAAAAAAAGCCCAAATCCCTGCACAAGAAAATACATATTCAGGGAAAAACTGCTGTAGATTCCTCCAGGAGCAAGGCCCGTGGTCTGTGTTTGTAGTTACCACAGTCACACATCAATTCTTCCCTGCTCCCTTCCCAGGAGCGTTTGTTCTGGGCCTTGCTCTGGTTACAGAAGTGAGAACACCTCAATTTTGCTGCTTCTCACCCTGGAATCATTTATGAGCTGTGGGATGAGGAGGATTTGGGCTAAAGCAGCTCCAGAATTGCTGTGTGGCACAAAAAAATGAAAGGGCATTGCAAGGGATGGGTTTGGCACTGGGGCGAAGCGGGGCCCATCGCTGCACCCCTCACTGGGTGTGTGTGAGAGGAGACAATTCCCAGCACCAAACCCTCAGTGCCAGCAAAAAAGCAGAGGAAAAATGCACCTAAGTCTGTCCTGTGCTCCAGACCCCACAGGAACCCAGCCTGACCTCAGTGCTGTCCTGCTGGGTTTGTTTCCACCCAGCTCCACCACCACAGGATCCCACAGGGGCTGAGGCTGGAAAGGACCTCTGGAAGTCACTTACTCCAGCCCCTGCTCAAACTTTGAGCTGGTCACCCAGGGGTGTTCAATTTGGGCAAAAAAATCCAAAAACCGTGTCAGAAATGAAACCACCAGCGTGGGCAGCGTCAGATCTGAGACCAGGGAGTAACAYGGTTTTCTGGAGGGTAAATCCTCCAAGGGAAGCCAGCTTTCAAGGGCATCCCAAGGCCAACCCTGCAGCCAGGAAAGATTTGAAGAATATCTGAATGTGAAGCCAAAGCCACATTGGTGTGAAAGACAAGCTCCTGCCTGTCCTTGAACTAAAGATAACCCAATTCTCCATAAAAACACGGGGAAGAACGATGGAAACAGCTTCACCACAGGAGCAGAGGGAGGGAATCCACCTGCCTCCCTCAGGATTGTGCTGGTTCCAYCCCAAAGGTGCTCAGCACCAGCAGATCCAGAATTTTGTGGTGTACCTGGTGCAGGTATCCAAAGGGGAATGAGCCAAGAAGGGCAGGAATAATAATTCCCACCCCAAAAAGGACAGTTCTGGGGATGGACTCTCCCATCACCACCAGCCCCACTGGGTCTGTGCAGCAACAATTGCACCGTGGCTGGGAACAGACATTTCCAAATGAGCCTCCTTCTATTTGCATTTGAAACATTTATTTTGGGAAATACATATTAAACACTATTATTTATACAAAAAATGGACTAAATTTTCGTAATGCTTATAACTCCCAAAAGGCCATTTTAATAGATCTGGATGAAGGGTTTTTTTATTGTATTATTTTCTTTTTTTTTCTTC